AGTGGGGTGTGGGAGAGGGTGGGGTGCCAGAGGCAGGCTCTGGCTAGGAGGCATTTACCTAAGCAGCACCCAGCCAGCAGCCCAGCAGGTCTCTCCAGCAGGTCCCCCTGCCTGCCAGCAACCGCAGACTGCTCAAAGCGGCTGGCTGTTCCATGTGGCTCTCTGCACTGCAGGGAAGGGAGGGCAGCATTGCACACTGTCTCCGTCCCCCAGTACAATTTCTCAGCTCCCATTGGCCAAACTGGGACCGTCCCGTCCCCCAACTTACCAGATCTGCTCAATCGAACACCGCAAGATCCACCTCCGGAGCGTCCATCGGCCCGGGAGTGCAGCTGTGGCCAGAGTGAGGATGAAAGGGCCTGACCCCGGGTCCGTTGAAATCAGCGGGAGTCTGTCCATTGACTTTGGACCAGTCCCTAAAAGAGCGAAGGGCCAGATCGTACAATTTGTCCCCCGCCCTGTGTGCGGGATGCTGCAGAGCCTCATGGGAGCACACCAGCAGGCTGGGCTGTGTGTGTCTGTGTGTGTGTGTGTGTGCGTGTGTGTGCGCGTGCGAGTGATCTCTGACCAGCACCTTTCCAAATCCCCGTGTGTGTGTCTGTGTGTGTGTGTGTGTGTGTGTGTGTGCATGCGAGTGATCTCTGACCAGGACCTTTCCAAATCCAAGTGTGTGTGTCTGTGTGAGATCTAACCAGTACCTTTCCAAATCCATGTGTGTGTGTGTGTGTGTGTGTTCTCTGACTCGCACCATTCCAAACCCAAGTGTGTGCGCGCGCACACGTGTGCATGCGACCGGGGAGGGGGGTGTTACCACACCTGTCCCTTACAACGCAGCTGTCATGCCAGCAGCGGGGCATGCGGCGTTAGGCCCGGACGCGTGACGCGCCATGTGCAGCTGGCTCTGGGAAGGAGCGCGGAGGAGACAGAGCGCCTGGCCGGGTGCAGCCTGGGCAGGACGTGAGGACAGACCGATCCCGCCTCCTGGGAAGCCACAAGGGACGCATCCTGGCTGCACGTGGGGAGAGCCAGGCATTAGGTTCTGCCAACAGATGGTATTTGGAGTCGAATTCTTGGGATCCATCCCCAACTCGGCCACTGACTGCCCTGGGGCACTGCAATTAGCCGCCATCCTTCATCTTCTCCGTTGGACAGTCCCCACGGTCCAGCATACACGGAGACCCCTGCGCTTCCCAGAAAAGGGCAAGAGAAACGATGAGGGTTTGGAACAGCCACCATTTGAGGAGAGATTAATAAGACCGGGACTTTTCCACTTAGAAAAGAGGAGACTAAGGGAGGATACCACCGAGGTCTATAAAATCCTGGCTGATGCGGAGAAAGTGAATAAAGAAGAGTATTTACTCCTTCCCATAACACACCAACTAGGGGTCACCATATGAAATTAACAGACAGCACGTCTGAAACAAACACAAGGAAGTATTTCTGCACAGTCAACCTGTGGAACTCCTCGCCAGAGGATGTCATGAAGGCCAGGACTTTCACAGGGTTGAAAAAAGAGCTAAAAATCTCCTGGAGGATAGGTGCAGCAATAGCCAGTAGCTGGGCTGGGTAGGAATAGCCCTGGCAGAGGCTGGGAATGGGCGACAGGAGAGGGATTGCTGGATGATCCCCGGTTCTGTTCCTCCCTCTGGGGGCACCTGGCGTTGGCCACTGTGGGCAGACAGGACCCTGGTTGGTCCGACCCCGTCTGGCCGCTCTGATGTGCTTGTGTTCTCTGATGACTGGTGCACAAGCAGCCGTTCCCCACCTGGGGGTCGTGCCCTCCGGATGGGGTCGCTGCAATCCCTCGTGGGCAGAGGACGCCATTTTGTTCCACCCAGGATGCCCTCCCCTGTAAGGTTCCTCGCACACAAAATGGCCTCCTCTGCCTAACAGGGGCTCACGCCCCGGCCATGGTGCACGGATGAGGCCGCGCAGAGGGAGCGCCCGGAGGACACCAAGGTGCTCTGCGGGCGGGGGCCCCGGGAGGGAATAATTCCTTGCCGGGCACCCTGATGCTGCAGGAGGGAGTCATGATAATCCCTAGAGCGCTAACACCGAGGGGCCCGATCCTGGATCACGGCCCCGCTGGGCCAGGCACCGTGCCGCCCCCCGAAACACCGGTCCCGGCTGCTCTCCGC